AAAATTCCAGAATGAATACCACCGAATAATGAAGGGTACAACATCTAATATTTCGTCAATGATACCATAAAATCAATTGGGTAGCTTGGAAGCTGTGCGATAAAATGTTAGTGTTACAAAGTTTGAAATCATAAAAGTATTCCTCTTTCCACTTTAGATGACGTTATTTCTGCATATTATCGAAATCCCGATAAGAGATGAAAGCAGAGAGAACACTTGTATGTAGGTAGTTGGGTATAGAAATTACCATTGGGCTAAGAATTTGACTCAAAGGTTCTGTTTAAATTAAATTGTACAACCAATGGTGAATTTTCTCTATCCTTGATATATACATATGATAGACTATATCAAAAATGCTATGACTGTCATTTCCGTCATGCAGGTACATAATGTGATCATGCAATGTTAATGTTGAAACGTCTGAATACCTGTGATAGAATATGAAAGTATAAAACCGGAATGTGTGTTACTGCCATCAGATGTAAACCTGATTGTAACACTCTCACTTGGTATTATATGTTCCGATGTAGTCACAACGTACTTTTCTGTGCTTGACGAACCTACACAGCAACAACAAAGAGAGACTATGAAATTTACTAAGAAATTATCAGTATACAAGTATTTATTGCGTACCATTAAAAGGATAGAGGAAAGGCATAGACAATTTGTCAACAATCTAATAATAATGGTTTTTTTATAACTGAACTAACCGTACTAATTTGCTGTTTCGTATAATTTTTAGAAATACCTTTTAAGTAATCTATAGGTACGAACTCTTTTCAATATACATGGGAAAATTAAATTGTATTTATTCCTACTTTTTCATAATTGTTTTTAGTGGAATCCCATTTAACATAAATATAGATAAAAAATATTCATTTTAAAACAGTTATGAAACAAGTTATATAACTTATATTATTCTCTCTTGTGTGCCCGAATGTAACCGCGCAGGGATCTTAATGTTTGGGGATATCGGAGTACCCTGGAAAACCCAAAGTGGTCGGGCAGGTGACCTCATACCTGTTCACGTCCGATCGGGGAATCGATCCCCGGCCGCCTTGGTGAAAGGCGAGTGCGTTATCCGCTGCGCCACCCGACCACCCGACATATACAATTGATATATGGACATTGTTGTTTTATGCATTAGTTATTTAGGTTTTGTTAGTAAGTGGTTATATTTTAATGAATAGGTTTAACAAACGGGCTAGACATACCGTATCGAAGTTGAAGTTTGTCGTACCTCAGTTCTAAGTCAAGCAGTTTGACATCAATACGTATTTGTCCGCAACCAGCAGGGTTCCGAATTATGCAATAGCAGTTCAGATCACTGGCATATAAACATAGTTTGAATAACAGTAATAAAAGATAATGTGTAAATAATCAATAATCTGCCTAGCTACCATATCAGAAATGTTAGAAAAAACTTATTGTTATCATGCAAAACATTTCGAACACCTGCCATACTGAATCGTATGAATAACTGCAATTATGAGGACGACTGACAAACAAGAACAATTCATAATACTGTTATAAATAATTTCAGATGACTATCACAAAAACTATCAGATAACTGTCAAGGTAATACAATCAGATAACGTTCTTTCAAAAAACAAATCCGATCGCTGTCAAACAAAAATATTTAGAAACCTATCATATGAGAGCAGTTCAGACAATTGTAATAGAAACCAATTCAGACTTTTGTCATAGATTAGTTTAGCTAGTTAAATAGTGCAAAGTAGAAATTTTATTATGTTTGTATTGACCTTATATCTCTTAAGTAGCTGTGTAACAGCGGCCACAACAATAAACTAAAACTACACATACACTGTTTCAGCCATACGGGCCTAGCGATCAAAATTCAATAAGGAAATTCCGAGGGACCATAAAGCATGTGTGTTTAAAACAAATATTCGACCTCTTTTGACTGAAACAATAGTCATACATACTTAGCGTAGTTATCAGTAAATCCTGGTGAAGTGATGAACTGTTCAGTGAAGCTGGCATTTAACTTCACACCCGACCTCCTGCATATGTCGGTTGGCCTCTGACAACCTGTAACAGTGATCACAATTGCTCAATCATGAGCAATGAAAATTAAGAGCGATCATGTCCGGTTATCTAATAATTCTTTAACACTTATAAATATTTCAAACTTCGATGTAATAATTCATAACCTTTTTTGATTCCCTTGAGTTGAGTAGACTAAATACCGTATAAAAAGAATGAATGGATTTAAACGGCATATACGGTAGTATGCACGCTGTTGGCAACGAGTATATTAGTTTTGAAGCTCCAACGCACACCATAGTAAAAGCCCGTATTCAACGCATTTTCCGATTTAATTTTCTTTATAAATCGTTAGTGTTGGTTAACTTTCAAAGGATCAGTCAACGTATGTAACACAACTTAAATGGTTTATTTAATTAAAGTTACGCTTTTTGACTTTATATTGAACATTTTCGTTTCAAAATACCGTAAAATCTCAATATAATACCCCTCGTATTGTCTCGTCAACATATTTCAACGTCCCTATTTGGTTTTCCTTTATAAATTTTCCTCATTTTATCGCCGA